AACCACCCTGAAGTCAGAGCTATTTTTCAAAATTTATCAGCAAGCAATCAGAAAATTCTTATCTTCATATTCAGGGCAGATGTTTGGCCATCTTCTGTTCACTGCAAAACAAGATGTTAGCTGTAAAATTTCTCATAAGAAGCACTGGTATCTGAAGCTTTAAAATGTGCTGAAAAATACATTGGTTAGAGCTAGATGGATAGATATAGGATACCATACATATAGTAAAATGTTCATTGTAGAATACAGGTGGTTCACTCTACTAACTCTTCAACCTGGAAAGAATAAAGGTGGCAGGTCCCAAGGTTAGTGGGGACCTGCAACTTAGGTCCCAGGTAGCGTTCTGAGATGGTATCAGTGGAGACAACTGTGTCGGATCTGATCAGCCTGGGTCCTTGACACCTAGCTGAGCTTCTCACACACTAAACTGGGTGGGGTGATAGATGTGGAGTCTTTGGGGACTCAGAGAACAGACAGCTCAGTGGTTAAATAGAGTGTACAGAGGGAAGGGGGCAGAGAGTGGCTCTGGGTGGCTTGGAGGCTCCTCAATCACTGAGAGTAAAGAAGGCACAGTGGATGGGGAGGGAGTTGGTGGCTCAAGGAACAAGGGCAATTTAAAGGGAAGAAGACAACACATTTCTGGAATGTTTGTCATGGATATTCATGCTTACGACATAATATTGCAGACCACCACTATGTTGTTTGCCCCTTGGTCTTGACCATCCGGATTTAAAATACTCCAGGGACTTTTTATAGCTTGTCTTTTTTTCTGCAGGCATGGAATCTGAGTAAAATAGTTCGACAGGGATTTGATCAATGCTGAAGAAGGCAGAGGGTGACTCCCTGGCTAGGTGTAGTCCCACTGTTGTATGTTGGATTTGTTTGGACTGTTTTCTAGTGCTTCCGGGTCAATTTCTCCCACGCTCAAGCAAATCTGGGTTTTCCTTCTTTTGGGTTAGGATTTACTGGCCTTGCTCACACTGTATGGTGTATTTAATGCATCAGAGTCACTGTGTATTCCATTTCTGTCTTTGAGGACGTGAGCCACCTTCTCACTTAGAAATCAGAGCTGGTCCTTGGGGGAGCTCACGGCATTATTTGGATAGAAACCCTTTGGTAATCGGCACATCTCTTGAACCATTCATAACAATCACAGCCCATCAGGAAGGTTCTGCAGTGGTCTTGGCGCTCTCTGTAATATTAGAGGACAGGCTGGGATGACGAAGAAGAGGGTAAAGGAATTAAGAGGAAAAAGGAATGAGAAAGACGAGACAATGGATAAAAACAATGTGCTCCCACACAGCACTGGTGGGGAGGTGAGGAAGACTCCGGAAAAGGCTCAGGAGCCATTGATCTGTGTCTGCGTGCCTGCTGCTGCCGTCAGATTTCCCCTGCATCTCCACAGCAGTTTGTCATTGAGACTGTCACAGAAGGGACAGAATCAGAAGCCATGCCAAGGCACAAGGTGGCATTGGTCATGTCCTGTCTGTACCGTATGCTAGTTTATCAGAAGAGGAATTAAATGGGCATGATTTTGTAAAAATAGGGGATCTGTAAGAATCCAATGCTGCCGATGGTCTGAGGCATGGCAAACGAGTTTCATTTGTTTCCCTGAACAGCACTGGTTGTAGAAGCCCACACACCACTGGTCATCGGTTTGTCCTTGTTTCCAGTTTGAGGGCATCTGGGGCTCTGAATGTGTGCACGTGGTTTTAACAGAAGATTCACCCTTAAATGAGTAATAGGGTCAAGGTCCTCTGAGATATTATGCCACCCAGCCAGAAGAGGGTGGTAGAATGGAGGGCGTAGGGGCTACATCACGGCAAAACTGGGGAGGCATCCCAGGCCCTCGTGAGAATGGGAAAAGCCGCGGTGAGGGATGGGGGACTTCGAGTTGGAATGGAAAAACTGATGGGAGAGAAAGGGGACGGGAGGGCACAGTTCTTCAAGGCACCCATTGTCCCCATCTATGGAAGTCAGTGATTTTCACATTCCACTTTGAGTTTCTCACCTTCACTTCAACTACCAATGTTGTCAATGGTTGATCCACATAAGCTTCTTTAAAAGAAGTAATCCACCATGGAGTTAAAAACAAAAAAACCAAAAACTATGGTCCTAGGTAATGGCAAGCATGGTAACATTTGACAGTTACCTGAGGTTTTATCTTCCTCGACTGCATCAGCCCGGGAGCTCGAGCTGCCCCCAAAGGTGGTGTGGGTCAGCGAGGCCGACACTGAACCTCCATCTGCACAGTCTGGGCTTGTGCCTTGAGCCTGATGCTTATCTGTGTAATTATGAGTAAACCATTTATTGGCTTTTGTCAACATTCTTTTCCTAATTTCAGACTCAGAGGAATATTTACAGGAAGGAAAGCAAATTATATTTTATGAAAGAAGTTGGTGGCTAAGTGCTCATTACCTTTTGAGTGATTGGTGTTTGCCATAGGTCACTGGAATCTTGGTGCAGATGATTATCCACTACCTTCCTTCAGGGTTTTTTTCACCCGTGAAACATGTTTACAGTGCAAATTCTTTTTCAGTAATGGGAATAGTACTAGGTATACTGTAGTTGCCCATGAAAGGTTTGTGCAGAGAAAGGCATTGGCTTATCTCCCAAATGTCACCCACATCTTTCTTTTTTTAAGATTTTATCTATTTATTTTTAGAGAGGGAGGGAGAGAGAGAGAGAGAGAGAGAGAGAAACATCAATGTGTGGTTGCTGGGGGTCATGGCCTACAACCCAGGCATGTGGCCTGACTGGGAGTCGAACCTGCGACACTTTGGTTCACAGCCCGCGCTCAATCCACTGAGCTATGCCAGCCAGGTCACCCACATCTTTTAAAAGCCTGATCTAGCCCTGGCTGGTGTGGCTTGTGGACTGAGCGCTGGTCTGCAAATCCCAGTCAGGGCACATGGTTAGGTTGCGGGCCAGATCCCCAGTCAGGGACTTGCAAGAGGCAACTGATCCATGTGTCTTTCTCACACATTGATGTTTCTCTCCCCCCCTTCCCCTCTCTCTAAGTAAATAAATAAAAATTTACAAACAAAAGCCTTATTGAAAGAAACTTCAGGATTCTGTCTCCCAAGCCCCACACCGGGCAGCACACAGGACCCAGGACCGGCTAACCCCGGCCACTCCCCAAGGCTTCTGAGTCGTTTGCATTCTCCCACGCACAGCAGGCTGGTTAATCCTGGAGTCCTTTCCTCTGTCACTCACTCGAAACTCAGCTCAGGTATCACTTCCCTGCAGACACCCCCTACTGTCACTTCCACACCCGTTGAGTGAAGGATCCCTCTGCCACCAGCAGCTCACTGACCCAAGACGGTGTGCCCACACACTTTCCCCAGGCGGGGATCAGCCCCTCTCGCAGGGCCTGGCCCAGGTAGCAGCTGCTCCAGGAACGCTGACAGGAGGAACACGTCCACAGAAACGACTACGATGAATGTGGGGCTTCTGACTCTTTAACTTGGGATCGGCTACTGACAGTTCACATCTGAGCAGGCAAAAAGAAGATCTGTTTTTCCCTCCTTTGTGCTCTGTAGTGTCCGTCTGCCTAGCTGGATCAGAGCACTGAAAGTGAAACAAGGCACTTTATCCCGTCGTTCCGACTCCAGGACAATGCTGTTCGAATCTGCAGACGTTCTAGTGCCAGCTTTTCAGAGCTAACGGGCCAGCACTGGCAGGCTGTCCTCAGGAGGAAAGGGAGGTGGGGGAGGAGCACGGAGATGCCGAAGCCAACCTGCAGACCACTGGATTCCCGCCCTCAGCAGGAGCTAGAGGGGGGCTCTTTGTTTAGCTTGGGAAATGCCTTTCCCTCCCCGCACTAAAGCAAGCTGGCAGGACTAGAGGAAGAAGTGGTGTCCCAAGGAAGAAAAGACCAGGCCCTATAGAGTTGGCAGCAGCTAGCAGGGGTATAGAGGCTTTAAGGAAGGTAGGAATGACCTCTGAAAGTCTGAAGGAGGTGTCGAAAATAGGCACATCCTCAGGCAAAGGAACCCAAAGACAGGTGCCCCAGCTGCACCTCGGGTCTGTCCAGCGTGTGCACCAACCGTGCTGAGAGCCTCCACAGCACAATTGCTGGGTGAAGGCGTCACCCACACCTTACACCTGGCTCCTCTGGGTGACATCCCCTGCCTGCCTGTGCACAGCCCCCTGGGATGACCTTGGCACTGCTCTCTTCCACCAACCACAGCCAGTCCTTCCCGGCACCCTCAGCCCATTTGGAATATCCATGATTGATTCTGCACACCCCTGGGACACTGATGGAGTCAAGATGGAGGACTGGGGTCCAAGATCTGAGCGCACACAGGGTCATTAAATGCTAGTCTCACTTCCACATGTGGCTTAGAGGGTAGGATGGGTCAGTGGTGGTCAGCTAGGAGGTGAGAAAAACAGAGATCAAGCTCCTATGGTAGCAACCTAGATCTTTTTACTTGTATTAATAGCACAATTGAATGAATTACTAGTACACTTCTATTAATTCTTAGTAGACAGAATGCTGTGGCAGCACATGTCAACTTTCTCTTAAAATATTCTGGCTCTGGCCAGTGTGGCTTGGTTGGTTGGAGTGTCATCCCACAAACTGCAAAGTCGTGGGTTCTGTTCCTAGTCAGGGCACATACCTAGGTTGTGGGCTTGGGCCGGGGACAGGGCACATGCAAGAGGCAGCCCCTCCATGCTTCTCACATGGATATCTCCTTCCCTCCCTCTCTTTTTAAAATCCATGATCACGTCCTTGGGTGAAGATTTAAAAAAAAAAATTCTAGAAGTCCAGTGAATGAACCTGACTGAGTCAGATATGAAAGTACATTGACATTAGCCCTAACCTACATTTGCACAGGCAATACTCTCTTACCAATCCTGTTTAAAGGTCAGGAAACTGTGCTCGTGTGCTTGATTTGAATGTGGGAAAGTGAGTAGACGCAGTGACAGAACTTCGTGCTGGTGGAAAAGAGCCAACAGATGCAGGCCACAACCACAGGCAAAATGTTAGAGAAACTTGTTATTAAATTTAATTTTCTTTAAATACATACCGTCTCCCACCCTCACCCACTCTGGGGAGGAACGGAAACCCCCACCCCCTCCATTCCCTATATAAATCCCGAGATGGCGGGGATGAAGTATAAAAATACTATTTACAAAGGGGAAGAAGGTGTCTGTTGCTAACTCAACCTCCAGACACCCCCATCCCCAGGCCCCTTTTGCTCCTTTAGAAAAAGCCCCTGGAAATCCATTTGAGTGTAGAACAAGCCCTTCCTCTGGCAGGGGCACCCAGACGCCAACAAGGAATAGGAAGCTCTGAGATTGACAAAGGGAGAGAGTGAATGGATAGCACCTCAGATCCTAGCAGGGGGAGGGGACTGGCCCTCCATTACCCTGTAGCCAGCAGGCCGGCCAGCCAGCCTTTGTTTCCATAGGTCCCATGTAAACATTGACTTAGTTTTACATGTCCCTGCTCTTCCTAATTTCCTACAGAGCCTCCTTACTTCCACTGGAGGCACTTGTTTGCTTGATCTTTTCTTCCTTCCTTCCCTTTTAACCTTCCTATGGAAGGAGTGGGGAGGCAGGGAAGACAGAAACCACCTCATCCCTTCTTCTAGGGCTTTGTGGGGCACACAGCCTCTATCTCTCTGTGTGCTCCCACACTATTGGCCAGACAGGGGTGGATTTCTTTCCCCAGAGCAGAGACAAGGCAGGTAAATCATCCAGTAACAGGATACACTGGTCTCGATGGGCGATGCTTTCAGTACTGAGTAGCAGGGAAGTAAGACTTCGGGAGGCAGGAGTGCGGGGCAAATCTGGTCTCCCCCTGCTGGCGGGAGACCAGCCCTGCTCTTCAGGGAAGCACAACCATAACCACCCAACAGTCTTGTTCAATGAAGCTACGCAGAGGGACCAGGCATCCATGAGGCAAGAGGTCTTCTCCAGGCCTTGACATAAAGGCAGCACTCACACCAGCTCATCCAACAGGATCCCGATGCTCTGCGTGGCCTCTGAGGGACCAGCGATGGGCTTGTTACACATAGGGCAGACACAGCGCACTTCCAGCCACTTCACCAGACACCTGTGGGCAAAAGAAGACCCGAGATACCCAGCCTGCTCTGGCGGGCATTCATTCATAGAGCCCCGCTGCTTCTCAGAGCAAGACCCAGTGCCCCAATCTAACCCCTCCAGCTTGTGGCTGTCTAGATAGGGTATAGGACATCACTGACAAGGGGGAGATGGGAAGGGGAAGGACTGGAGGTTTGTTCTAGAAGATGCTTTCTGCTTATTGCTTTTACAAGGCACCTCCGCACACACGTGTGCACTGTGGACACTTACTTCCGATGAAAAGCATGTTGGCACGGGAGCACACCTAACTCATCCTTCCCCTTGAAGTCTTCCAGACAGACTGCACAGGTCTGCTGTGGAAAGAAAGGGGGAAGCATGAGAGGAGAAAGGGCCGGAGCCCCCATCACCCATCCTGAACACGTATTATCTCGACCCCATCCAAGAAAACTAAGTTCTAGCAATTTCCTTTTCGTCTGGAGACACATTAGTCACATTTTATTAAAATATGACAGTATGATAGCCATTAACCATGTGACTATGTTTATTAATTAGTTAATTGATTTTAAATCTCCTGATTTCTTTTTAAAGATCTTATTTACTTTTAGAGACAGAGGAGAGGGAGAAAGAGAGGGAGAGAAACATCAATGTGCGAGAGAAACAATCTGTTGCCTCTCATGCACCCCCAACTGGGGACATGGCCACAGTTCAGGCATGTGCCCTGAACAGGAATTGAACCAGTGATCTTTTGGTTCACAGGCTGGCACTCAACACACTGAGCTATGCCAGCCAGAGCTTAAATTTAAAGTCATTTAATAAGATGAAATTTGAAATTTAGTTCCTCAGTTGTACTGGCCACATTTCAAATGTACAATGGCCACAGAATGGCTAGCAGGCCCCACACTGGACAGAGCAGACATAGAATATTTCTATAATCACAGAAGTTTCCTTTGGGCAGTGCTGTTGCAAAAGAAAGAGTTTTTAGTCTGTTCTAGCCTAGGACATTTGGCAAGGGTACATGTGCCAATAACTAGAGGGTATGGTGTTTGTGGTCAGTTACTTTCTTTCTTTAAGTCTAGTCTTACATCCCTATATATTAACACCCTCAGTCTCAACTGAGTCACCCTTCCAGAGGAAGGCTTAGGAAACATCTGAACTTGCTGTGATGTAATATAACACCTATCAAACACAGAAACAAAATGCAGCCATTTCTAGGTAGTCTTGTGTCTGGAGATGTCTACGATCCTGCTTACTCCAGACAACCACAAATGCACCATGGAGTGTCTGTGGTCAGGGAAGGAAGCCTAAGAAAGGCGTTAGGTAATCTTAAAGGCACAGGTGGGAAAAAAATAGGAATGGCCTATTCCTAAAGAGTCAGTGATGAGAGGAACCTAAGGAACTGGTGGGCGGTGAAGTGCTGGTGGGGGACAAAGAACCACAGGAATCCACATCCTAGTCAGACCCATAATCTGCTAGGACAGAGTGTGTATATACAAGGGTGCCAAGGGCCTTCCTCTCTTTAGTGAAAAACGGAGACACAGGATCTGAACATAGGAAAGGTGGCTGCAGTGTGGCACGGAGTGGTGTGACCATCCTCCCCTTGGAGATCATGCCTAGCAGGCTTCCTGGGGCCACGTGTCACCATGTATCCAAGCCCTTTCGTGCCCCCTTTGTTGTCTGCCCGCACTGGTTCCAGACGTGATGAATTCCGTATGTCAATGACATGCTGGGACAAGTGACTTTTATTTGGCCCAAGTAGATATCAAGGCAGGGACTACAAAGGTCCCTGAAAGGGTCCTGGCTGAAAGCTGGAGAAGGCGCCATTTGCTTTAGCCCCCAGGGCCCTCCCACACGCTGTCCCAGTACACTCACCCCATATAATTGTAACTTCTTGGCATCACCTTTAAGCACCACCTGGGAAGAAAAGAGGAGGTGTGGTGTCAGAAGAAACCAACCACAGGGGCCAGGTAGTATCAACCAATGAAGGAAGTCTCCAGCTCTGCACAGGATCGCCCCCCTCTCCCTCCCTTCTTCTCATAAAGGGGAGGGCTCTGGGCACTACCCGGGCCAACCAGACCCAAGGGCAGTGAAAGGAGTTATCCTCAGAGAGGGCCAGAGGGGAAGCTGAGGGGAATTCCTGGCCAGGGCAACGCAAGCTTCTTCTCCTTTCCTGTCTCTAGCAGGACAAGTAGTACGTCTCAGAAAAAGATGTGGTGCTTTACCTCCTTATATCCATATCGTTCACTCTGTGCCTGGTTCCGCAGTTTGCTGGGGAAATGAAGGGGAGAGAAGCGATCACTACGTCTTGCACAAACAAAGTCATTCAAAGTAGGAAAGGTGGGTTGGCTGCTTGACACTCTTCTGGGGGTGGAGAGGGGTGTTCCCCAAGGGGGTACCTCATCCTATAGAGGCCCTAGGGTATGGTCCGGACCTATGCAGGTCACCCAGAGTCAATTAAGGACTCAGGTTCAACAGCCACAGAATTTACTGCCAGGCCCCGCAGATTGGGGGATTGTCTGGCAGAGCACCCCGATTAAGCCCTTCACTCTCCCTGCCAATTCCCAGGGGGGAAATTCCTATAGGCTCCCAAAGTATATAGATCAACAACTGCTTGCTGAGTATGCAGAAGAAGTTAGATACTCTTAAAAGGGCTTTTTCCATGAAGCCCTTTTAAGAATGCGGGGTAAATGAAGTCTCTGACCCGGAGAACACAAGTATTTTGGAACCAAAGCACACTCTCCCCTCACAGTGCCAAGAAAACACAGGAGAGCCCTTCTTTGTTCTCTCCTTTTCGTTTCTAGCTGGTGGCCTGCACGCAGCCCAACTCTCAATAGCCAAAGCCTGGCATGCTGTAACTAAAGGCAACAGCACAGTCATTACGGAGGACTTGCTATGCACCGATCCATGCACTAACAGGTTCAAATACGTGCTCAGAGACTTCAGACAACTTTAGGAGATGCTGTCCTTTTCACAAATGAGGAAGTAATGAAGTCCAGAGACATTAGCTGACTTGCCTAAACTTCAGAGGTGGTTGGCGGTTGTGTCTGGATTTGAACCCAAGTCTCTCTGGTCACACAGCCCCTAGCTCTTTCAACACAAAATGTGGCCTGTTTCACCAACTGGGTGCACACACCCTAGTCAGGGGGGTGCTGGCCAGGACGCACATGCCTGGAGCCTCTTGGGAACTCGTCCGAGTGACTCCTGCCACAGGGTCTCGGCCTGGGGCACCACACGATGCCCCCTTCCTCTTTCTTCTTTGGAGGGTTTCCGGTCAGTGGAGGGTTGGGCTGGAGGCCTAACCAGGGCCCCCACTGTCCCATCCTTCACTTTGCGCTTTCATATATTCACACGCATTCCTGCCCCCCACTCCCAAGTGAGAGGGTCAAGAAGGACGTGTCCAAAACTCATGTGAACTATTACCCCACTGACATTGAGTGAAGCTGGGGAAGGAAGAAATGCTTAGGCAGTGCTTATAGCCACCTTCTGAGGGAGACATGTCACTCTTACCAGGCATGTGCAGAGTAAATAAGGAAGCAGTGAGGAACCTGCTTCTTCTTATCTCAGAGAATGGGGGGATGCTGCATGTCCTATGATCCTCAGCTGCAACGTGGCTATTATGCAGTGTGCAGTGCTATACTGCAGGATGCCTGGGGCACCCTCCTTCCTTCTGGCTGCTGTCTCCTTTGAATGGTCTTATTCAAAGGAGACTCTGGACGCCTGACTCTCAGAGCCTAGGATGCTCATCAGAACGTTGGAGGGCTTTAGAGCTGCACCTTCTCTCTGCATGTAGATTGATGAGGCCATACCTTCTCCCCACATGTAGACTTATGGAGCTGCACCTTCTCCCTGCATGTAGACTGGTGGACTAGGAAGGCGCAGATTGTGATGAAATCAGGCCACAAAGGTTGCAAGGGAAGCAAAGCAAAAAACAAAGACCTTGGGCCATCCCAGCAGGGAATATAGTGCCAACAACTTTGGACAGGTGGCCTTCTCAGCTGTTGGGTGAGCAAAGCTGCTAAAAATACCCTGATCTCAATGACACCATTTCTAGCCACGGCCCGTGGGCTCTCCCATTGCGTCTTTTTCCTTTTGGAACAAACAATGCAGCCAAGTCCTGAAAATAATTGTTCCTTTCCTGCCTATTTGTACTTCACTGGCCCCTCCATCCTGTGTAGGGCAGAAGTCAGCCCTTTGGGGCTGTGGGGGAGAACGAGCGAGGGGGAGCTGGGAGTGGAGGCTGGCCCTGGCCAATGAGCTCACCAGGTTGGGAGCGGGGGGCATGGGCCTATTTTGGCTAAGGAGGAAACCGAGAAGCAGGGAGAGGAAGTGGCTTCTGTGCTTGTGTGTCTTTCTATATATAGACACCCACAGGCTGCCACACACCAGTGAGCCTCTGGAACCATGAAACTGCAGGCTCAACAGGCTCCGGGCGGGCTGCAGAGCGGACAACACAGTGGTGAAGGGGCAGATTACTGCAGGAGGGACAGGTGGTGCCGAGCAGCCCCACAGCGGGAAAAGCTTTTGGTCTCATGCGGTTTCGATGCTCTGTTCTTTCAGTCCAGCCAAACAAAAATTAATCAGCCATACCCAGATTCTCAGCCTGTCCTTCTGCAGGAACCCAATCTCTAGCTGTAAGGGAGTGGCCACAGATGTCACAGCTGCCTCTTCACTTCCCATTCAAGGTATAAGAATCAGACATATAGAGGCAAACATACGGAATCTGAAAGACTCTAGTTAATTGCCACCAGACTAGCCCATCTCTATACATTCCTCTATATATGGCCTTGGACAAGTTCTTAGCTGCCTGTGAATGAACTTCCTCACTTACAAAGTGGGCTAATACCTCAACTGGAGAGATGTTCCGCAGACTTCAGTGAGCTAAATATTTTATAAAATGTTATCCATGATGCCTGACACACAGATGGCACCTGATGGCAGAATCAGGAAATGAAACCTGGTCACCCACTTATGGGCCCAGAGTAATTTTCTAGGATTTCTTCACGTGGTCGTGTTTGCATCTGGGCATGTGTGAAGGAACCAGATAGAGTTGGTTCTACAGACCCCTACTAACATTGCACACGGATCTTTGCTATTTGAAATGTCTCCATCTTCAGTCTCCGGGAGCAGCATAAGTTGCTTGATATGAGGAGATGCAGGTAGATGATAGTCAGGAGGAGGAAAGAATTTGAGGAATAAAACTTGGGCTTGGGGAAAGTTGAGGTAGTGGGGAGATTACCAGAAACCTACACTCACTCACACCTAATTAGATGCAAACGTCAGACTCAGTTGTACAGGAGGGGAAAATAAGTCTTTATAGAAGCTAGTGGCTTAAGTGGCAAACTCTAGGCCTAGGGACTTTTTAAAGTTCTGAGAAAGAACTGAAAGGGGGGGCCGGGGGGGGGGCACCAGGGCCCAAGGGCACTTCCTCTTCTTAGAGGGAGCTCTTCCAGCTTCAGAATAGGAACTAGTGCTCTCTCTAGCCTCCCTCAGGTGAGTCAGCTCCCTAGAGCATCTCGGTGGGGAACCAGAGCGCCCTTCCTCCATCTTAACTCAACCTCCTTAAATGGTCTGATCAGACACCGGCCTAGACCCCAGCTGATGTCTACTCAGGCATCTGGTAATATGGGCATGGGGGCTGGGGTCGGGGAGAGGGGTCAGTTACCACATGGCTCCAAGGCCCACTAGCATGTTCTGCTGGTCAGAGGTGCTTTGTACTCCCCAACATACAATGAAGAACTGTTAATCCCAAAAGTGTGCTCTGGGGTCAGGAACACTACTTTAATTTCCAGTGTACATTTTAGTTATGCCCCAAATGTTTTGGTGGGAAATAGCCACCAGTTCCCATGTCTTATCAACTGGAGAAGAAACAGTTCCTGGAGAAGTTCCAGTTCCTTCTGTGGGTCCCTATGCAGTAAGTAAGGTTTGTAAGTTTTTTCACTCGCAAAAATAAGAGCTTCCAAGGCAGAATAAACAAGCAGCTCTCCAGACATCAGCCTGCTAATATTAGCGTCTGATGGGTTGACAACAGGAATTCCCAGGGGCCCAGAGGTACACGCCACTGGAGTAACGCAGGCCTACTTATCCCCAGCTACCAAGAGGGTGTGAGTGGGGAATAGAGAGGCAGGTGAGGGACCATCAATGACATGACTTGGTCAGACAGTAATTCTAGGCAACCTTAGCACAAGTAGCCAAGAGGCAGGAGGCAGGCCTACCCCTGGTGACCTTATATGTTCTGGGAAGACAACTTGATAGGGTGATGTAAATAGAAACATCAGGCCTCAGGGGCCCAGTAAAGGACTAGCTAGGCCCTGCCTTCAAAGCAGGGGCACCAGCTGGGGGAGATTCGCCCCACCTACCCCACCCCTGACCTCCCCCTCCTGGCTTCCCCATTCCAGGGAGGCACCCACCTGATGAAATAACAGCAGAAGATGAGGCTGAGCATGAAGACAAAGATGCCTGTGCCAAAGATGACCATGTAGATGTTGAGAGGAAGGTCTTGGAAACTGATGGGTGGCATTGAGCAGGACTTGTTAGTACTAACCAGTCCCAAGCCGCAGAAACACCCTGCAGAGAAATGGGAAGAAACATAATATTAAAGTCGGAAATGTACCACTGGTACTCTGTGTCAGCAAAAATGGAGGGAAAACTAGCAGGCTCTGGGCTCTAAATCTCTGATTCAGGCGCATAAGTTTATATCCTAGCTCTAATATCTATTAGCTATGTGATCGTGGGTAAGTTAACCAATCTGTGAAACAGACTACTGCATACAGCACTTAAAACAGCAACCCCATGTAGGAAATCAAGGCTTCAGGCAACAAGCAGAAAATGGAAATACTTCCATCAGGCAGAGCCCACATGGTGCAGTAGCAAAATGAAGAACCTTAGCCCTGACTGGTGTGGCTCAGTTGGTTGGATGCCTTCCAGCAAAGCGAGGGGCCACCAGTTTGATTCTGGGGCAAGGCACAGGCCTGGGTTGTGGACTGGTTCCTGGTTGGGGCAAGCGTGGGAGGAAACCAATCAATGTTTCTCTCCCTCTCTTTCTCCCTCCCTTCCCCTTTCTCAAAAAAAAATAAATAAATAAATAAATAAATACAATCTTAAAAAAGAAAGAAGAACCTGTGTATCTGGGTTCCAACTCCATCTCTTCCTAGCAATGTGACCTTTACCAAGTTACTCCTCTAAGCTTATACGAAAACAAGGAAAATACAGAGAGGACTAAAAATGTATTAAGAAACATGCTTTGTAAATTGCAAAGTGGAATTGCAAAGGTCATTTGTCATTATTAAGCCACCTGCTCCAGGACACAAGCTGCAATAGGACCAGAATAGAAATTATCCATTCCAAGGCCAGCGTTCCAGAAAGTGGGGGTGGAGACTTGCAGCTTCCTTCTACTGGTTGGCCACTGTCTCCCTTTCTACTCAAAGCCTCACTGTACAGTTTCACAATAGCACTGATATTCCCTGGAGCTTATGTGAAAAGCAGAGTATTAGGCCCACCCCAGAAGCAGTGAATCAGAATCTACATGTTGACAAGGTCCTCAAAGATTCTTGTGCATTTGGCGTGGGAAACACTGGCTAGCCACTAGATGCTTGCCCTTTTCTCACATGACTTTAAGGGTAAATCCTGATTGGCCCACCAATCACACAGGGTTTGGTGTTGAGGTAGGTGTGTGACAGGGTTCTGGCCTTTGAAGAAAAGAGAATGTTTGCTGGAAAAGGAAAGCTTTTTCTCTTTATTTTGTCCTGCCTGCTCAAAACACCTGTAGTGGTGGCAGCCGTTACAGCTGGAAAGAGAGCAGTTCTTTATGAAGCCTGCGGCGGAGGGAACAGGGAAAGAGGAAAGAATCTGTCAGTGAGTTGCTAGACGAACTAATCCTGGAGCCACTCTCTTGGGACAACTGGTTCTGACAGTGAGTAAATATTCCGTAATGTTTAACCATAAGGAAAAAAAAAAGATGGAACATAAGCAATAAGCCAATTGTTTATTACTGCTTGCAGGCAAGAGTACCACAGTGATCCAAAAGGCAAGCATAAACTTCTTGTGTTTCGGAAAGTGGTGAGACAAGTAGACTGGAATTTACCATATACCTGCTACATCCCAAGCACATTCCGTGATACCAGTTTAATCTTAAAGACTCACTCATTAAACTGTCTGTAGTCCAACAGTTAACAAAGGCTCCAAAGGCCTCCGTACTCAAGCCTCCAACATGGGTTTTCAGAGCTTTTCTGACATCTTGGTGAGAAGCCAGAACCCATTAAAATATGCTTCAGAATTCTACGTTATAATTACCTGTCGCACCACAACTCAGCAGAAGCCTGGCTTGAACGATGGAGTCATTGTTGATGTCATACTTCTCATAGCTCTTCCTCCCCTAGATCGATCTAGTGGCCATAAAATGAGCCTCCCTCCAAACCTCTTTCCGTATTTTGTGGCCAGTTCTATTGCCAAGATCCTATTCCCAACAGATTTTAGGCCCGATTCTATTTCAAGTCACTATTCCAGACACCTAATGGATGTCTAGTCCCTCCTCTAATTTAGCCCACATATGTCTGTCAATCCTCCTACTCAGTTTCTGTCATGTATTTCCCCAACTCATGACTGGCTTCAAGTCTTCCTAAACATGTATGCACTCTCAACCTCCCCAGCCAATGTCCTCCAGCACCACCCTCATTATTTCTTGCCTGTGGGCCAGTCTCCTCATTATTTCTTGCCTGACTTTGTACTCATGCCTCCATATCTGTGTTCGTTTACCTCTCCCTGCCCGAAACCCCCTTCCTTCCTGACGTGCACTGAGCCTGGTCTTTGTAATATTCCAGTGACCCCTCTCCTCCCAGAATTCTATGCATTCACAGCTCTATTGCATGTTCTGGCTCTTGCATACTCAGTAATTGTCTTCCATTGCCCTGCTGCTCCTCATGTCACCTTAACTCAAACATACATTAAGCATTGATTATATGACAAGTACCATGATAGACCCTGAAGATAAAATCAAAGAACGACTAGATGGTCTTGCCTTCTAGGGAAGAAGACAGACATAAAAGCTGTCACCATATAAATTGAGGCACCACAATAGAGGTGCAACTATAATCCTAAAATCGGAGATGAGAGTCCTATCAACCTGAATGCTCCTAGGTCTGGGGACAGCAATTTGGATATTCTCCAGTGCCTAGTCTAGTGCTTGGCTTGTTCTCAATAACTAGTTAACAGATAAATGGGCCCAATTTTCTCAAAACCTGGTACCCTTGGCAAAAGCTCACACTCCAAAGGAAGTAGACTGACGTTTGGGAAAATTGCCCAGAAAGTGCCCTCAGCTAATGGATGACCAGTCAATCAACGAGTATTGTCGAGGACCTGATTTATGCATTGACCTACACAGTGTGGGGAAACAAAAAGTAAAAGAAGTAATTCTTGTCCTGAAAGAGGTTTTGATTAAGCTGAAAACAATTAAATAATTAGCTACGAAAGGTTGCTATGCCCCAAAGGAAGCTCTTGCTTCTAGGCTCCGGCAGGGGTTAGAGAGTCTTCAACACTCTTCCACCATCCACTCAAACACTTGCTCTCTGTGGCCCAAAGGAAATCCAATTCTCATAAATACATCATGGTGGACTCAGTCCACTCTGGAAAAGGGCCTTAGGACCCCCATTCCAGGAAACTGGGTCCTCGATGCCAGCAAAGCCTTCCTGCCTACCAGGGGCATCTCCACAACCCCCACCAGCAATATCTGATGCTATAAGAGACTCTAACTCCCAATCTGTCTTGGTGCTCCATGCATTTTTGTATGGGGTGGATCCTGGTATCGTTTGGGTCCCAAAGAAACTCATTTGGTTTCCTATTCTGGGGAGCTGCAGAGGGGTGACAGTAGCTATTGTAGATGGTGTGTGTATGCCCTCTGTAGGCACTTGGGCCTGCGCACTCTTCCCACCAGTTTATCTTGACCATCTTATCTTGTCTGATTATCCAGGATGGAGTCACTGAGCCTAGGACTCTGTGATAGAGGCCTAGGTGAGAAGAGCTTCATAGCCAAAGAGATGGTCCGTCTGCTTGTATTACAATGAAAAAGAAATGGAAAATATGATGGTGGGGAAGTTTTTCCTCTAAAAAGTTAGAAGGACGGAATACCAACCCTCGGGGAAGAGGGGCTCCAGATATTTTTCATAAAAGGGTGAGGAGAGGGATTGCTTCCTCACTGGAGTCAGAAAACAGAATCTCTCAGCCACTTTGCAGAAGTGAACAGATAAAGCAGCTTGTCCTCTGCTGGTCTAAAAATCTCTTATGAAAGAGGGCTGCCCAAGAAAGGCCAGTGTGACCGACAACCCCTGGGCTCTTTTCCTGAAGTCTCCGTTTCATTGTCCCAGCCGACCTACGAGAGCTCTGACATCAGAATGTTCCTTCTGCATCTGTGGGCTGGGAGTGGGAATGACGTCAGGAGGAGGTCTGGCCAAGAAAGACCAGGGAATCTGGGAAATGCCTCTCCTTTCCAGCCAACGGGCATCTTTCCCAGATGCTGGGATGCACTGTCCTGCCTCGCCCCCACCTTCCACCCCCTCTCCCTCTATGCCATCTTGGTTCATTTTCAGGAAATTACATACTACTACCAAGAGGAAGAGGGGGGTGGAGGACACTCTTTACACATGCTGCCCAAACCTTGCCTTAAAACACAAGCCTCTTGAAATAATTAATCCAAGGTCTGGCAGGAGTCTGCTCTCAAGAAGGAGTTTTTCCTAACTAACCGGCTCCCCGCCCTCAGAGATAAGGCTAGCTGTTTCCCCACTCCGACTCTACAGAGCTAGAGCTCTGCGGCCAGCACGCGAGGGCCATTGGAGAGTATTAGTATCTAAGGTTTGCAACTGACAGCCCAGAGAGGCCCTCAGTTCAGTAGTTTGGATGAGGAATCAGGCCCCAGCCCAACCCGTTATCACCTGAAGCACAAAAAGCCTCAGGTGAGATAATTTAGCAGTACCCAAACGGGAGGGGGGAGGGGTAGTGACTGGGGTCGGAGGAGTGGTTGGGTCTTGAGGTGCCGCTCCACCACGGAGGCTCGGGAGCTAGTATCACAGTCGGGCCTTGGGAACAGAGAGCATAGATCCCTCCAAGCTAGCCTGCCCCCAAGAGTAGCCGAGCGCCGAGCTATCTGCAGGACTTTATCAATTCAAAAAGGCCACGCTCTTGAATCCCACGTCCTCCGTAGGCACAAAGCGCCATAGCAGCGGGTGCGAAGCCAACAAAGACACAGAGGAAGCCACCTCTGGGCCCGTCCCGCACGCTACATTGTATGCATATTTAAAATAGCCTGCAAAGTTTCAGGACGGGAACTTGAGCTCCCTCTAGGAGCTCCTAGCCCGAGCGCGGATTTAATTCTCCTCGGATAACCACAACAAAGAACAGAGTTAGAACCGCACAAAGACAGGGGAAGGGGTAGAGGAGCGAGGCCGCCACACAAAGGCCGTGAACTCCTCGGCTCCCACACCCCCTGCCCACCGCACGTCCAGAGACTCTTCCCGGCCCTCGAATTAAACCTGGAATTTTTTTTTTTTTTTCAAATTCCGCGCTGTGCAGAAGAGTTGGGCGCCAAGATGCCTTCTCACCCGCCCCGTTTCAAGAGAAACTTAGCTCGAGAGAGAGAACGAGCCTCTGCCGGATCTTAAGTCTCGCGCCCCCCTCCTCGTCCCCGGCCAGCCCAGGGCCCTCCCGCCCCGGAGGCTCACCGTTACACCACTGGAATGGGTGCATCAATGAACTCGCGGCTGGCTTCCTAGGGCGAACGAACGCAGGCGGCGGAAGAGGCAGGCAGGTGGGCGCACCGGCTCGCTGGTCCGCAGGAGGGGCCGGTGCACTCCGCGGCAGCCGCTTTTCTCGCGAAGTGGAACGCCCTTCGAGGTGAGGGGCTTCTGCGAGGCCGGTTTTGGAGCAAGAGAGGAAAGAGGAGAAAACAAACAGAAAGTCTCCCGGATCAAAGCACCACCGAGGAAATGCAGGAAGAACCCCGAAGTTGGGGAAGATCTGGGGCACCGCAGAGCAGGGTGGGGAAACTCAGGCGGCAGTATCTCCGCCCGCAGGGGAGGGAAAAGCCTTGGTGGGAGACGGCTCAGGTCGCAAACCACAATGAGAGAAAGCGGTGGAGACTCGGAAACTGACACAGGTTGTGCACACCCCCTCCCTTATATACCCCACGGCAACTCCGCCCCCAGTCCGTCACCGCCTCCGGCCAATAGGATCCTTTCTCTTGGCAGTGGCAGTATTTGCAGGTCCGCCCCCCCCCGCCCCCTTCCAGGGCGGAGCGTCTTTCCAAGGTAAGGCGCTTACCCTTTTACCTTCCCAGTCCTGGGAAAACTTAAGTCTTAAGGAGGAGCGCGTTCTGCCTTGAGGTGACCGGAGGTGGAGGAAGCAGCCTCCTCCGCCGCGGATCTGGAAGAAGCCGAACAATTAGTGCCACATTGTTGTCCGCCTCCAGATCTGTTATGGTTTCTGCAGCACTTTGAGAAAACAGCTCTGGGGAGTGGTTACATTTCTGCTCCGTGGGCAAGGATTCCGTCGTGAGTAGCCGCTACCACGTTCCTTTGTTCACTGCAAAAGTGAGAAACTGAAGCAAGAAGGTAAAGATGAGTTAACAAAAGGGAGATCTGGAAAGAACTTTAGTTATCTCATTTTTTGGCCAGACCTTCATTTTACCAAGTAAATAAGGCTTGAAAATTAAGCTTAATACTGTCCATGTAAGAAACGTTCAAACCTTCACAGAATTTTTATTAGTTTATTTGAGACAAAACTGAGGACAGTTGCCAGGAAGCAAGAGCTAAAATGCTCGGAGAATATCAGTTTTTGCAATCTCTTTTGTGCATTTGAAATTAAGCAGGGGACCTGAGGAAGGTTACCTGAAGGTGGGAGAAAGCAAAGTGGGGATTAGATTACAGGATTTCATGCTCTCTGGAGCACGGTTGTGTCTTAGAAGGAGGAGCCTGAAAGAGGTATTTCAAATTCCAAAATGCACAGAAACAATGGGCAGGGCTTGCTTAAAGCAAAGATAAACCGTTTACTAAAAAGTTATCTGCCTGGGGCTTGACTACCCACCCCGACCTGCTCAGCTAGGAATTTAGGATTTATCACAGCATCCCTTTTTTCATCCACAATGTAGACACGTAAGGGCTCCACATCCCAAGTAGCAAGATCAAACCCAGGAATCGATGTTGGCAATCCATTTAGGGTACGATCTTCAGCACTGTGAAGGTGTTGAATTAATAGTAATTGAATAAAGGACCACATATCTTAATTCCCTGTCCAATATGTTCTCTTTTGCCTGATGTTGCAGCATTTCCTTCTTTAAAAAAAAAAAAATTCGTGGCTGGTGTGGCTCAGGGATTGAGTGCTGGCCTGCAAACCAAAGGGTTGCTGGTTAGATTCCCAGTCAGAGCACATGTCTGGGTTGTGGGTCAGGTCCCCAGTAGGGGGTGCTTGAAAAGCAACCACACATTGATGTTTTTCCCCCCCTCTCTGCCTCCCTTCCCTTCTCTCTAAACAAATAAATAAACTATTTTTTTAAATAATAAAGAATTAAAATATTTATTTATTCTATTACAGTTGTCCCAATTTTCCCCATTTCCCCCCCATGTAGCCCAACCCCCCTTCCCACAGTCAATCCCCACACCATTATCCATGTCCATGGGTCACAATATATATGTTCTTTGACTAATCCCTCCACCTTTTTACAACCAGTCTCTACTTGCAGCATTTCCTTGGTCTTTTTTTTCTGTCTTTCATTTATTCAAAATGTATTTACATTTGCTTTGTGCCCACTTCGTTGTATCAGAGACCCATCCATGTCCACAAGGTTCCTACTCTCCTGGGAGTTACTGGGGAGTGTGCAGAGACAGTAAACAAGCAAGCAAACAAAGAAGAATGACTCAACCTAATCTTCCTATTCAACTTAATCTGTTAGTTGAAGGTGATAAATACTTTGCCTATCTCTGGGGAATTTGTGACACTCAAATAAGATTTGCATATCAGTGCTTTGTCATACAAATACAAGATGCCTGAAGGTATCAAATAACTTGGCCAAGTTCACATAGCTGTCTGCAACAAATGTTTAACACTTAATTGCAGGATTGTCTTAACAATTGTTTTTCTTTATGAGCTAGTCTGGAAGGGTATCATGAACAGATCTACCCTAGTTCATCCCCAAAATGGACAGTGGTGAAAACTTTCTAAGCAGCCTCTCTGACTCTATGTCTTAGACTTTGAGGCCCACAAGAATCACTGTTACATTAGAGATGTTATATATGCAGGCTCCCAGGCCTGGAGCTCAGAGATTTTGATTCAGTAAAGAATGGGCCCCGGAGATATTTAATTAACTTCCCTTGTCCCCTGAAATGTTCATGCAGTTATGCTGAGAAAAATAATGCTCTGATCTTACTCTCAAATCCGTCCTCTCTGCTGGCCCCAGAGTTACCTTTCTACAATGTAAATCTAATCATTTATTCCTCGGGCGTAATCACTTTTATTGGTCCCTGGTGTTTATGGGATAAAGTCGACCTCTAGAGTATGGCTTCAAATCGTTTCAGCCTGGCTCTGCCTGTCTCCTGACCGCGAATGCACTCCCCTTTCCCACACACTTTCCATCAGCTGTGAAGCTTTTGTTGTTGCTCCTTGAACACAGTATATCCTTTCTTGACTGATTTTGTACAAGGGATGGCTTATGTTTGGAATGCCCTTTTTCTTTCTGTGCCTGACATTTTGTAAGATTCAGCTAAAAATTCATCTCTTTTGTGGCCTACCAAGTCTCATTTTTCCCCTGTCTGCATCTCTTTTGACACTTTGTATGTACAACGAATATAGTATGTTCTGGGATTTTCAAGATAATCATGTCATTTCCTGAACTTGATTCCTTCATGAGCCTTCCTTATAACAGATTTTTCAACTGCAGGAATCATTCCCGTGGTGGTTCCAGTGTTTGGTTCAGTAAATACATTTGGAATGGATGTGTGTGTGCGTGCAGGCCTGTGTATAGATTGCCACATTCTAGGCTCAGTGTAGAGGATTAAAAAACGTAATTGTCACTTACCTAATCATTTTTTATATTCACTGACTCAGAGGAAAGGTGTCTATATAGGTGAGTCTGATTGCACTACAGAGTTCCTGCTAGGTGTCCCCAGTGGGCAGAGCCTTTGAAGGGAAATTGACATGAAGTGAGGAATGTGCCCCCCTCCAGCCCTCGCTAGACTAAGGAGATGGGAGGAGGAAGGTAGGAACAGGGGGAGTTCTCATGGAGACCGAGGTGGTCACACAGGACAGTGGATATCTCCGATGGCACCTGCGTGAGTCCGGTCATGAGAACGTTCTACAACTCATGTTTTAAGCCTGACATTTTCAGCTTCCAGGGAGGTCTTCTGAAGCATTTAAGGACTCTCGTTTTGAAAACCTGATGCATACCTTCCCAATCTCCCACTCTCATCACTCCTGGCCGTTGGGGTCAAGAGGCGGTGCCTCAGCGGACAGCCAGCCTGGGAGAAGCAGGTCGAAGGCAGGGCTTTGATCTTGGCATTTCGGAAAAGGTTGGTTTAGTCCCAGCGTTGTCCTAGACTGAGGAGCCCTACCAGAAGCAAGGTGAGCCCTGGCCAGTGTGGCTCAGCGGGGCATCATCCCGGCAAAATAGCAGGCTGCCTGTTCCGTTCCGGGTCGGGGCACGTGCCTGGGTGGCAGGTTCGGTCCTGCTCCATCCGTGTTTCTCTCTCACATCGATGTTTCTCTCCCTCTTTCTTCCTCCCTGCCCCTCTCTCTAAAAATAACTAAATAAAACTTCTTAAAAAGTTGATTTCTCCATTCATGTCAATACAATTTTGACAACTCACCCCACCCCCACCACCAGGGATTGCTTCCTAAGCCTAGCTTCTCGTGAATTGGGAGGACAATACTGGTTACTTTATGGGGAAGAAACAGAAACAGTAGAGGATGATTTATAGATTCGAAGACACGTAAATCATCCGAAGGAGCGTTATGTTGCTAAATCTTCCACGGAAAGAGGGAAAGGTGATACTTCTAGAAAAACTTCTGGGTCAGGGGTTCTGTTCTTTTCCACTGCCCCACCCCAGTGGAACATCCTCTTCCACAGCCCCTAAGCCTCCTCATCTTAGGGCCTTGTAAGCGCTAGAGGAACACTTTGGGGAGAGAGCTGATTCTGTGGAGGAGCCTGGGACGAAACATGGTAATGCCATCATTTTAGAAATCCTTGACTAAGAGGCTCTCTCTTCCATGGCCTCCAAATTCAGCCCCAAAATACAGAAGAGCACGGCAACCACCGTCATTTGTAAATAGTGATAATTAAATACAAAGAAACACGTTCTACTTCAAAATGAGACAAATTGTCACAACATTTCCCCAAACTTCTATGTTTCTTAAGAAAACAGTTTTCGTGAGAGGAACACACAATTCTTTGAAGGGGTTTAGGGTTGTTTGTTGTATGTTTGAGCAAAGGAGGCTCTTCGCTCATTTCATTCTTAAAAAACGTGATCTTCCTCCGTCCAGATACCTTGGGGATCTCAGTACCAGGACATTTTGAGGGGGATGATGCAACTCTGGGCCAAAGGTATTCATTTCTACCCAGCAGTGCCCACAGATCCCGGTCTGTGGTTCTCCAAGAAAGTGAAGTGGCAGTTTCCCCACCCGCTTCCCCAGCTCCGACCCACATGGGAAGTCCAATAGAAGAAAGATGCCTTGGTGTGATGGAGGAGGCCCCTTTTCCTTTCTCTCTGCAGAGCCTGAGTCAGCTCTGGAATGATGCCTGGGGTTTTTCCCAGGTCTCTGAAGCATCCCTGTTGCTCTCCCAACGTACTAGCGGGGGAAACTGAAACCACAGGGGTGGGGCTAACCTGACTTCCCAGGAATTCTGCACAGACTGGTGACCTCATTGGATTTCTGGAATGAAGTCAGCACACTAGGCTGGAGCTAAACCACCTCATGTGTAAGAGAGGAGATTCAAGAATACAGCAGAAGAGCCCTGGCCAGTGAGGCTCAGGTGGTTGGGCGTCGTCCCACAAAGCAAACGGTGACCCCTTCCATTCCCTCAGGGCACACACCTAGGTGGCAGGTAGGCCCCGGTTGGGGCCCGTGTGAGAGGCACCTGATCAATATTTCTCTCACACATTCATGTTTCTCTCCCTCTTTCTCCC